CTTCCTTCATCTAATGTTATGCATCTTTATTCTTCTTAATATAAAAGATTTTTATTAAAGATAAAGAAAAAATGAGATCCCCCCTTACTCTTCATCCTCCTCCTAACCCCCCTCCTCTTAAGGAGGCTTACGCCTCATTGTGTTCAGGATGCTTATGCCTCTTGCATTCTGAACTACGCCTCATGCCTCTAGGTAGTGGAACGCCTCGCTTCACGCCTCCGCGTTTTAAAACATTGGTAAGAATTCCTTTATTAGTTCATGTGGGACTCCAGTCACACCACAAACCAAAAGGGAAGAAAGGAAACCAAAGAAAACAACCTTGTCACCAAAAATACATTGTATTTCACAAAAGCAATGTATTTTAAAAGATAAAAATACTCTGTATTTTGCAGAAACTGAGTATTTTGAGAGAAAACAAAATTCCTGACAGAAAAATGAAGTATTCCAAGTGAAAACCAGGCAAAGCTCAACAAACACACACAATCACACAAACAAAACTATATATAAGCTCTAGTTGAGTTCCTTTCCTAGTCCATGTGGGACTCAAGTCACTCTACAAACCAAAAGGGAAGAAGGCAAACCAAAGAGGACAACTTTTTCAACAAAAATAAATTGATTACATCTGTTCCTCCCCAGACCCTGCATTGGCGGGAGCCTCGTGCACTGGGTTGCCCTTTTTAGTGTATTTTTGAAGACAAAAATACTTTGTATTTTGCGGAAACAGAGTATTTTGAGGGAAAGCAAAGTACCTAACTATTCTAAGTGAAAGCTAGGCAAGCCTCAACAAAATTTAACACTTTTAATTTGAATCACACACTGAAACACCAATGTGCACTATTTTAAATTTCACAAAAAATAGAAAAAGAAAAAATAAGGGAAAAACTATGTCGAGGGTGGAGAGCCTCTAGGGCAAAGCCATAGTTCTTTTTTTTTTTCAAGCATCTTTTCTACTCTTCAAACCAGTTGTCATCAATAATTTATAAGGGGAGAGCAATCTGAAAGACCCAAAGTTTCCTTATCTAATAATAATTCCACAACCAACTGAAATAGATAACTCTAATAAATAAAAAAATCACTACCTAGAAAATAATTGTTGCATCTGATGTCATACGCATGTGGCTAATCTCTCCCCATAAAAAATAATTGTTGCATCTGACACATGTGCCCAAGTTTAAACTTTTTTTTCTTTTGTAGGAAACAGTAACTTTCATTATGCTTAAAGGAAAATTAGTACAACCATCACCTTCATAGGCAAGGTGACCCCTCAAATGAAAACAACCTGCAAACATGCCCAGAATAGAGTTTCCCTGCCAACTCCTTGCTTTGCTAAGGTGTCAGCCATTGCATTTGGTGACCTTCTAGTCCATTTAAAATGTGCTTCAAGCTCCCTTGTTAGGTTCAATATTTCCCTTACAGGCTCTCTAAGGGACCAAGTGCCCAAACTGTTTATATGCATCCAACCTACTACCAATTTTGAATCTCTCTCCACTTCTGACTGTTGAAAACCCAATTGTTTAGCCAATCTGAGCCCCCAGAGGAACATCAAAACTTCTGCTCTAAGTGAGTCACTCAAACCTATCATTCCAGAGAAAAGGGCCAGCACTCTTTCTTCCACATCTCTAAAAGCACTCCCAATTCCAAAGGGGGCAGGACTACCTACAGAGCTGCCATCAAAATTCAGTTTCACACTAAAATGTAAAGGAGGGGACGAATCCTCTTGAATGATAATAGATGAACAGGAAGAGTGCGCTACTGTGCTCCAACCTCTAAACAAATCATATATGGAGAAGTCCTTGAAAAGATCCAGTGGTTTCAGCCAACGTATAGCCTTGATGGTGATCTCTTTTATTATCACCCTTTCTCTTTTCTTTGGTTGTCACTTGTCGGATAAAGCTAGAGTCAAAAAGATCCATCACACTTGTGGGAGGATTCTACTTGCAACCAAAGAGAGAGGAGAACCAATCCCAAATATGAGTAACAAAAGGACAAGAGATTAAAAAATGATTTAACCACTCTTCAAGCAAAGGCTACAGACATGTGCCCAAGTTTAAACTTTTTGTCACAATTGTGACAATTTCTTCTCATGTTGAACCTTCATCTCTGCATGTGTTAACCCATTTGATGGAAGTAAGGCACTCATTGTTTCATTCCTTAAACTTGGGATGGTTTCATCATCATATGACACCTCATCTTGTTTTTGCAACAACAATTTCTCACATTGCAAACATACCAGTTCTATGGTCTTTGTTAACATTGAAGGCTTAAACATCTAAATATCATATTGTATGCCATCTTTCAATCCAGAGACAAAAACAAACCAGAAATAATTAGGGCAATCTTGTTGTTTGATTGCTGACTTCTCGAACTAAATTTGGTATTGTCTCACAATAGTCTTCTCCATTTTACCAAAACCTCAGTAGGTCTTCAAACTTAGCTGGACTGAATCAAGTGTTTAAACTAAGTAAGAGTTGCTCATGACATCATACCTGTTGACTTGACCACCAATTGATACCGTTGAAGTGCTTCTTTGTCCAAGTAAAAAAGACTGGTAATTCTCTTCTTTTGTGGTTTGATGATTAGAAAAGATATACTTATCCATCAAAAAAAGAAGAGATCTACTTTGCTTTATAATCCATCCATCCAGATCCTCTCCATCAAAATGGGGGATGTTAATTTGATCAATCGGGTGTTTGATTCCTCTTTCCAATTTAAGATGGCAGGATTTTGCCCCATTCCCAATTCTTTGAGGCCTTTCAACTGGTTCTTTTACCGTGCTCCATGCATCCATGGCAGAAATCTTTTTAAGGATTTCAGTGAGAACATGCCTTATTGTCTTCTTGTTAGATAAATCTTTGAGCTGCTTGATGTTTCCATCCTTAGCCTGCGTCATCTGCCATTCCCAAGTTAAGGGCTCTAAATCTCTAATACTAATTGATACATGCACTTTCACAGATTTTGGGAAAATAAGGTCGAAACCACTTGTGGGTGGCACTATCCTAAGAAGAAAGCTGTAATTTTTTTCCAACTTCTCTATTCTTGAAGCCACACAACATCTATGCCTATCAATATATATATATATATATATATAAACGCTATAAGAGGGGAGAAATAAAAAGTATCTAAAGTTTCTTTATCTGATTATAATTGCATAACCAACCAACCGAAACAGATTGTTCCAATAAACCAAAAAGGATTTTTTTTTTTGACAAAAAAGGTATTATACTGAAAACAAGGGTGAGAAACCCTCAACATTTACAAGAGGTACATGCTATAAATTAAAAATTGATGCATATCAAGACCCACACTCTATAGTTGTTAATTTAGTTTCCTCTAAAACAATCAGCGAATTATGTAGATGGGTACATGGATGATGTCTCATTTTCTTTTAGAATCTGAGTATACATTTACCTATTTTCGAGACTGACGTCTTGCTGACAGGAATGGATTTTCATGAGCTGTTGGACATCCCACAAGGAGACCGCAGAAAATATCACGACGATGTTACTGTTATGGTGATATCACTTGAGGGAAGAATTTGGAAGTCATCAGGAAAATACCTGTGAAACGCGTTTGCAAATGGCTACACCTGTATTAGTGACTTGATACGAGTGATTTCAGCAAGTAAATCAATTTACCTCTCAAGCCCAATGTAAGTCTTACCAAGGGGCGACTGTCATTCAATTTAGCAAGTTCCATTAGTGGCCCACTTTTCATGGGTCGAAAGAGGATTCTTTGCTTCACACTTACTCGGCATAAGCTCACAGGAAGGAACCCCACGAAGATGGTCGGGGTTGATATTTGATATTCCTGAAAGCTGCTGCTTCTTCAAAGTTCAAACAGATGCAACGATAGGTTTGGGAATGAACCAATTGGAGTCTGCAAGTGGAATTGTTGGGAAGAGTCTTTTTGGGGATAGAGTTGGTTTTCCTGTTATGGGATTTTGCACAGCGGTGGGGGCTCTTTGTGAATCATTCGTCTTTCCTCTTCTTTCTTCATATATTTTTCCTCTGTATTTTTTCTCTTCCAAGGAAAATGTTGGGGGAACCGTCCGGGGGTTGTGGAGGAATTACTGATCCTGAACATTTTCATGTGAGAAATGAACAGAACATATGTAATCTCTCTCTTAGGTGGTCCTCCACCAAAGCGGTTTATAAAAGGAAAGAAAATTTTCCATGATTATTCTGTATACATCTTCTAATACAAAAAGCCTAACCAGTGAGGGTTAAAACAGCACAAGTCAAGATAAACTTCTGTTGGAGGCTTGGACGTTGGGCTAACGAGGTTGTCTAGTCGAGCTTCAAGAAAAAAACGTCAAGAGTATTTGAGGTGCTTTACCCAGTGTAGGCATTTGATGCTTAAGTGGTAACAGGTAAGCTCGAGGGTTGATCCCGTCCCTGTCAGGGAAGATGCCAACCGTCTCTCCTTTCAACGAACACACCCCTCTGTTTGCATGCTGGGTTTATAAATTGTCGAATATTTTTCCAAGTTGACAATGTGGGACAGAGAGTCGCCCACTCCACAACCCATTGTTTGATCGCTTTCACCTCTCATATGACCACTTTCGGGTTGCCTTTCATTGAACAGGATTAATTTTTTGCTATATCATCAAATGGAGTAAAACTGTGGATTTATTTCATATGAAATTAATAAGATATTATTATATAGCTGAAGGCACAAATCTGTTGTTGGATTCCTACTTCGTATAGAGGAGATGCATAAACAAATCTATAAGAAGAAATATTAATTTCTCTGAATTTCTATTTTTAAGAAACAACATATTCATTTAACAAAACTATCTCAAGAATCATATTTCTGATCTCCATAAGATGAAATTATGAAACATTGGTGGGTGGGGTGGGGTGATTTTGATCATGTTGACAGTTTTCAACTAAACGATTGATGCTTTCTTTGGATGCTAAAAGATCAATCGTCGGAATCCCAGATGAATCCTTTGGTCTGATGGATGGTATAGATTATCCACATGATATTTGCAGACGCACCTAAATCCTGACAATAGGAAGGGAGTTTTACGACATGAGATGAGTGACACCCATGGACGAGTCCATTCATCTTTGATCTCTCCTCCTGCATTGACTGTAAAGCGTAAATATACCAAGTTACATCCACGAATATCTCGCTCAGCTGGGGTTGGAGTTCAAAAATCTATGGTTTTTGCCATTGATTCAGCTGGGGTTGCAGGAGCAAGGCCGAGATACCGGAGGAAACCATCAGGGTAGTAGCTGATACAAGCAAATTCTTGATCTGGCTTATGTGTTTGGATTGCAGACAAAAAGAGATTAATTAAATTTGCTAAATATGTTTTTCAAGAACATTTCATGTCATGTGCATATTTTGTAACATTCTTATTACTATTTTTTCTTTTTTTTTTTTTGCTTATTTTTCTGCAGTTTAATATCTTGATTGGAGTACCCTTGTTTGGATGCTCTGAATTCAGTATTTTTCTGCACTGATCAGGATCATAGCTGATCCATCAACAATGCTATTGATATTTATAGAATATGATGCTAACAAGAGATTTGACAAACAGAAATAATTTCCTGTATCAGCACTTTCACTATTATTTATGAGATTAAAAGGTTGATACTTGGGATAATATTTCACCTTTTAACTTGTCATTTTATAATCCTGTGATGATTGCATAGTCAAGCATTCTATGTAGTTCTTCTTCTTCAGTAATTCTCAAGGTGTAAATCTCCAAATTAAAATTGTTATAAACAGGCATCTCAGCAGCAACCCAAAGCTCATTAGGATCTTATCCCGCATTGTTGTACTCTAAATAAACATTGGATTGATTATTCTTTGTTTTGTGGAAACAGGTGGTAGTTGCAAGAAGCCCTTCTCCATACATGAATTCCATTCAACATCCACACAAACAATTGCTCTGTTCCTCTTTCTTTTCTTCATTGTTCTCTCTCTTTTGCTTCCATCTCTCATTGATTTTACCAAGCTTTTAGAAAGATCCTATATTATACAGTGTTACGAGCCGCTGTAACTGAACGTGTGACAAGTCTCTGCAAAAGAGCAGACTATCCGGAATAGGTTATCGGAGAGTCTACAAGAGGATGCTCTTGGTTCGTCTTCCCTATCTTGGCAAGAAGATGACCAATATTTTCTGGGTTAGTTCGAGGCAACTCAGAAAAACCTCCCAAATTAAGATAAGTTAAATGCTGGATAATGATGATGTTCATTCAAAGAAAATAAGGGTATTTAACGAGTTACACCCCCACAATCGAAAATAGCTCTACAGATAAAAACTAGCTCCTACTAACAAGAGATAATGGTGAGAAAGTCTCCTTAGGCATCTACAATTTGAAAGTTAACGTAAAAAAGATAAGAATGAGCCTAACAACTTTGACTGGCCTTCCCTTGGAACCGTTAGAATGTTCGTGGGCCCATGCAAAGCTTGCATGTTATCCACGTTCATAGTAGGCTCGTAACAACTCTCCCCTCCTAAGGATTTCTCTTGTCCTCAAGGGAAAATTCAGGAAATTGCTGCTTCATGTGATCAACTGGTTCCCAAGTAGCCTCAGCCGGTGATAATCCACGCCAATGAATAAGAACTTCTTGATGGCCTTGCCTGACCCTTCGATCAATCACTGTTTGAGGGTATGCATGATATTCCTCTTCCAGGTGTAGATTATGGGGTAATTCCGACTAGGGAGAACTATGGGGCCCTAGATGCTTTTTGAGTAGGGACACATGAAATATATTATGGATTCTTGACCCTTCAGGCAGTAGTAATTTGTATAAGATTGGGCCCACTCGGCCTATGATTTGAAAGAGCCCATAGAATTTTGGTGCCAATTTCATATTCCTTCTTGTAGCCACTGATTTTTGTCTGTATGGTTGTAACTTCAAGTACACCCATTCTCCCACCTCAAATTGTATATCTCTATGTTTACTATCATAGGCTTTCTTGCTCCTCCTCTGTAAGCCCATGGCCCAACAACTTCATCTTGCTCACATAGTCGTATTAGGTGTTGTGTTTGAGCATGCTCATGCTGGTCAGATTTGATAGCTTCAATCCAATGGGGGATGGGCGGTGTTAGTGCCATTAGAGCAGGCCCATTTAGATTTTTTTGACTGTCGCCTTCATCTCTTCTGGATAATGCATCTGCCACCTTGTTCTCAGCTCAATACAAAAATCAAACCCTATAAGCTTATATAACCAACGTTGCTGGGCAGGTGTGGTTATACGTTGGTTCCATAGGTATTTGATACTCTTCTAATCTATACGGACAATGAAGCAGTGCCCCAACAAATAATGTCGCCACTTTTGTACAGCTAGTACTAGGGCCAATACCTCCTTTTCATAAGTAGAGAGCAAGAGGTTCTTTCCTTGGAGAGCTTGACTGATGTAAGAGATTGGTCGTCCATGTTGCATCAGAACCGCTCCTATGCCTACTCCTGAGGCGTCACACTCCACCACAAAGGGTTGAGAAAAATCTGGGAGGGCCAATACCGGAGAGTGTGTCATTGCTTATTTGAGTTGACAAAATGCATCTTCAGCTACTATAGTCCATGTAAAGGAGTTCTTTTTAAGCATCTGAGTAAATGGTCTTGCAATTTTCCCATAGCCTTCCACAAACTTACGGTAGTATCCTATAAGTCCTAGAAATCCACGAAGGGCTTTTGTAGATTTGGGCTTGGGCCAGTTTAACATAGCATTCACCTTTTCGGGGTCAACCTCCACTCCTTTACCACTGATAATGTGCCCCAAATACTTCACCTGCGTCTGTCCAAACAAACACTTTTCTTTTCTGACAAATAGATGGTGAGCTCTTAATATAGAGAATACATGCTTCAGATGTCTCATATGTTCGCCCCAATTAGAGCTATAAACCAAAATATCATCAAAAAATACAAGAACAAATTTCTGTAAACAATTCTGGAATATTTCATTCATAAGGGACTGAAATGTGGAGGGTGCGTTAGTCAGTCCAAAGGGCATGACTAAAAATTCATAGTGCCCCTGATGTGTTTTGAAGGCAATCTTAGCCACATCAACGGGGTGCATTGTAATTTGATGATATCCGGAGCAAAGGTCTAGCTTAGAAAAATAACATGCACCATGTAACTCATCTAGTAATTCATCAACAATAGGAATAGGGAATTTATCTTTAATGGTGATCTGATTGAGCGCCCGATAATCTACACACATCCTCCAAGACCCATCATGCTTCTTGATGAGAAGTACAGGAGATGAATATGGGCTGTTGCTAGGCCGAATCATGCCTATAGCTAGCAGTTCAGCTACTATTTTTTCAATTTCAGATTTTTGACAGTGGGGGTAGCGGTAGGGTCTCACGCAGACTGGCCTCATGCCTGGAAGAAGGCTGATTTTGTGATCGTGGGCTCTAAGTGGGGGCAAGCTTTTGGGCTCTTCAAATAAGTCTGAAAAGCTAGCTAGTAGCTCTTGTATCTGAGGAGAGTCGGGCTTAGCTGAAAGGCCTAATGGGCCGGGCCTTCTAAGGAATGCAGCAAGATGCCTTGATGATTTTTCTTGATAACCCAATTATGTGTGGCATTTCTAACAAGGGGTGGTATCCCTTGTAACAACAGTTCACGTCCATTAACCCAGAATTTCATGCGAAGGTGAAAGAAATCCCACATGATGAGACCAAGAGTAGAGATCCATTGGGTCCCTAAAATCACTTCATATTCATCGATGGGTAACAAATAAAAATCAATCTGTAAGGGAACATCTTGTAACCTTAAAGAAATAGCAAAACATTTACCCGGGCTGACCAAGGTTTGGCTATTCGCTACTACAACCTTGAATTGACCATCCTTAGTGGGTTTTAGGCCCACTCGTTGTGCTAATTTGGTGCTGAGAAAATTATGGGTGCTCCCCGAGTCCACCAACGCAGTTACTTCTTCACCTCCCACCTTCCCTTTGACCTTCATGATGCGCCCTGGTGTGTGGCCCATAATAGCCTGGAGCGAGACTTCCAGCTCATCATGGGTAGATTCTCTCTCCTCCCCTTCAATTTCCATCTCAATATGACCATCTCCTTCTTGCCAGCAACCCTCTATCACAAACAACTTCTTGCATCTATGACCGGGACTGAATTTCTCATTGCAGTTGAAACAAAGTCCCTTGTCATGCCGCTCCTTTAACTCAGCAGGGGTCAATCTTCGAACAGGGAATGTAAAGG